ATGAGTTTGTCTGCAGGAACTCAGCATACAGAACAAAAGCTTGAGCGGCGTTAAACTTGCTGACACAATAAACTAACATTTTATCAATGTACAGTTGCCAGATAAACCTCCAATTACTCGTACGTGTAACAACAGAGCAAGTAGACCTTGTATACCGGGATCAATTATGCTGGCGCCGACAACTCCGAGTACAGTACACAAGCAACTAATGTGGCTACAAAAGATGTAACTGATGTACTTGAGAATATTAAAGACGTAACAATAAAGAAACCATATTCTACAATAAGCATCATTCTACCAAAATTAAACAGCATGTTCGCGTTCGGAGTTTTTCGTTGTGACTTAAAAGCAGTGTTGTTCGAAACGACGTTCCTGGAACGCGTTCCTTTTAGGAGGAACGTGGGAACGCCATCGTTCCATTTTGCCTTGGTGGTACTGGAACGAGAGCTCGTTACATTTCTGCTGGAACGGAAAAAGGAACGGCATTCCTTTTTTCGTTTTGTGGGGTGATTTTTAATTTTTTTTTCTAATTGGGAAAATCTAAACTTATAAAAACAATATTTTTACGAAGAGCAGTAACTCGTTAACTTTTGTGTTACTCATCTTAGGTTTTTTTTTGTGTGTGTGGTCCTCGCTTGGTAACAGTCGGGTGCAGGGGAGCTAATGGGTATTGATCCTTTTTTCAGTGCCGAGGCTGCGGTACAAAAAGCAAAACATTTAGTCAAAGAAAAAGACAGAGAAAGAGGGAAATTTCAAACTCTGCTACTTTCCTTGCTTCCGTGGATCCTCATACACCCAAAAATATAAGGCCGACTCCAGCCATCACTGAATTTCCACAAAGAGACCTACAGTTACAAGAAAAGAACGAGTTAGCAGTCATCGAACGCACCCTTGTATACCGAACATTGGTCACTTAAAAGATACGCAAAAAATTACTTTTCTTCTTCTCCCCTTGTCCCCCCCCCCCCCCCCTTTCAAACGGAACATCGAATCCAACCTTCACGAAGAATGACTTGTAGTTTGCAAGACTGATCTTCCAAAAGCATTACCCTCTTCTTCACCGGCTCGTCTTGCGTACAGCAACATCAAGAAGCAACTGTTGTTAAGTTTGAACAAGGGACTTCGTTAGTTCGATCGAAACGTGCGAGGTTGCGTTAAAACGCTGGTGCAACCGGGGGTAACAGTACATTTGGCTCGTCTGAATCGCCAACCACAAACATGAATATGGCTTAAGGCTGAAAGTTTTAGACGTGAATATATCAACAAATGAAACTTTGCTTCCGCTTGTTTTCTTCTCCTGCTGCCCTTCCATAACGGTATCCAAATTTGTATGTTGCCATTTCGTGGGATAGGTAAAAAAAAAGAAGAAATCTTTGTTGGATCTAACTAAGTATGTTAATCACCGAAATGCAAATGTAATGTATATGCAGGGGCGGATTTAGAGGGGGGTCCGGATGTCCTGACCCCCCTCTTGATTTATGCATGTGTAAAATTTAGGGCGTGCAACGAGGGAGAGGGGGAGGGGGTTCCTAAACATATGGTACGCTGACCAACACCTGACCCCCCCTCAGGAAATTCCTGCATCCGCCCTGTGTATATGTAACGATACGTTCCATTTGTTTACTGTAACGGGAACGAGTTCCTTTTTTACATATGAAACGGGGAACGCGTTCCAAAAATTAGAAGGAACGAGAAACGTGCTTTTGTTCCTTTTTTTTGAGCAAGGTGTACAACATTGTTCAAAAGTAGCTTGTGTTAGCCATGTATAAAAAGGCGGAGGAGAAAATAACCTGAAAAGCTATCGTCTTATATTTGCGTCGGCCGTCTTCTTACAAAAAAAAAAAAAAAATTGAAGGTGTGTTAAATGATAGGCTAGTAAACTTTTTCAATACATATAATGTTATTACCGCCGCTCAGTATGGCTTTCGAAAAGGAAAATCCTCCGAATCGGCACTCAAAAAAATCTATGATAGAATCGTAGATGACACTAAAAACGAAATACTTACCATAGGATTATTCTGAGACTTTAGAAAAGCCTTCAATAGAATTCAACACAATATACACTTTATTTTAAATTGCAAAATTATGGAATACGTGGTGTCGCATATTGAAACTATAACATCATAGCTAGAAAACCGTTTTCAATGCGTTCAAATTCCAAACAAGTCTCAGAAAAGCTATAAATTAAGTGTGGCGCCCACCAAGTTTCCATTTTGGGACCAGTATTGTTTCTGGCATAAACAAACAAATTTAAGGGCCATTCAAGATTCACCAAATCTAGTTATGTACGCAAATGACACAAATGTATTTTTCACTGGTAAGACAAAATCCGCTCTAGGATTATCGGCGATTAAAATAAATCTAGCTGTCGTCCTGGCTTCAAAATAACAAATTGCAGCTAAACACGGATAAAACCAAATATATGATATTTAGACCTCAGAATAAGCCCAGTGGGGGCTTAATTTCTATTAAATATGAAGATTATTTTATTAAAAAATACGGAATCAAATAATTCTGGGTGTTTGTTAATAAAGAAATAAAATGGAAAACCAATAAGACAAAACGCAATCCAGAATTAAGCAGATCGGTTGATTGCATACAAAAAAATAGCCAATTTTGTTCTTATCTGGCTGGAGAAAATGCTGCATGGTTCTAATTTAAAATATGCTGCGTACTTTTGATATGGGGTGCAGGAGGCGTTACGAATTAAAGCAAATGAATTGTTGTACAGAATAAAGCGTTACGCCTGCCCGAAAAGTACAAAGGAAATATAATCGAATTTAAAAGTTCGCATAATTTCAGAAAACAAGCAATTCTTAAGGCAAACCAAATATATATTTTAATTTATTGCAAGTCATATATATATATATATATAAAATAAACTTTATGAAACAGATAAAGACAGTTCAAATAAACGATTCCCATTTGGACATAACACAAGAAAAAAGCCGAGCATACTTACCAACTGTGGTAAACAAAAAGAAAAATAGTTATCAGGCAATCAACTTGTTCAATCAAGTTGATACTCATCTCAGTTTTACTCAGTCTTATTTAAAATATAAAGACGTTACGAAGAATACTCTTATATCGCGCAATATTACTTACTTATATTTATCAAAGGTTAAACGTACCAGCATGTATAGTATCTTCATGAGTCGGCGGTGTGTTTATTTTTATTTCCTTTCCTATGTCACCATTCGCTGCGGATATGGAATGCGTCTTCTAACATGCTTTAGGCCGCGTTCTTGCTTTTTCCTTGTGCACGTTTTGCTTTTGGTTGAAATATATATATATTTTTTTGTCATTTGGGTTGTTTGAACGCGCAATAAATGCCTAATATTTTATTATACATATAAATATATATATATATATATATTGTTTCACTTTCATATTGCGATATCTGCTGTATAGCCTGCATTTTCTTCTTTGCATTTTGTGTGTGTGATACTAGACAGTTTACCTTTCATGAGGGCGAGGATTTTACAATTTACTTTTCGTGTGTGGGATGACACCATTCCGATTTTAATTAGGGTGAGTGTTACCCTCCTGTTGTTTCTCTTTCGTATTTTATTTTATACTGCTCGGCGTTTCAGTTATGTAACATGTTAATGGCGTATATTTAGTGTGACACATGTTCCTCTCAAGCACGTAGCGAGGATTTTTTTTGGGGGGGAAAGGGGGGGGGGGCGCCGTTGATGACAAAATGTTGTATGAGGGGGAGGGGGGAAAAAGGCCCCAGCAAAATGGCAGATTTCGGGGGGGGGGGGGGGCGGGGAGGGGGGGGGCCTCATGGGCCCCATGCCCCCCCCCCCCCCTGGCTACTTGCCTGGTTCCTCTGCACGATGATCTGAACTGCACAGGGGGTGAGGGACCGGTTGGGCAGCTATGCCTTTTGTCCCTGCCTCCTTACTTGGTTATGTCGGTGAAAATCCAAATAACAAAATAAAGAGAGACAGCATGCAAACGCATGTTTCCGCAGCGGATATCTAAAAAAACAACAGCGTTTTTTTTGTGTGTGTGTGCATTGAATATTTAACGAAGTAGCCATCGTTTGTTGGTTTTTCGCAATTATTTTTGTTTTTTCGCACATCGAAAGTTCATTTAACGGCATTGAACGAGATAAAAAAAAAAGATCTCCGGCGACCTATTTTATTTTACGTCTGAAGGCTCGTCTGTGGCGTCGCAGTTTCACAGAAAGAATCAAAACGATAAATTTCGCGTAAAATGTTATCGCCTTCTTTGCACCGGTTGAATGTAAGGCTCCTTCACCCTCAGTAAACATAGTCACTGCCTTTACTCAAGTTGTTGGTGAGTAACACTATTGCTCCAGTGGCCGCGTGTCATTCGCCTGCGAATTTGAACGCGGTTTGCTGGAAAGGATCCTATATTCAACACGATTTCAGAAAGTGCTTGTATTACACCATCGACTGTCCACTCAAAAACTGACTTAAGGTAACTTATCGATTAAAGCAGCGTGGATCCATGCGGGATATCTCTTTCGCGCATATTATGTAAATTAAGTTGTTGCAGGAAACATGTTAAGTGCACTATACTGCGTGACAATCGTGCACTTAATGCCGGAATGCTTTACCCCGTGTTCGCACGTTAGATTACGGAATTAAATGGTTTTAATGACTGCTTATTGGTGAGTAATTGTATGCGCCATCCTGTCCTCTTCTTCAGAAAGCCACGCATATTTTTGAGATTTCAGAAGTGTTTATTTCTGTATTTTAATATTGTAATATTGTTGTACCTTACCAATTTGTTTGTATGAGATTTACCCCACTGCTACATTTCAATAATTTCGTAAGTCCTCTCATGCAAAAGCTCATATATCTGTAAAAGCATCATGGCTTACTGTGAAGACAGTAGCCCTTGTTGCATATACGTACATAAACATGGTTCAAACACGCGATCGGTGTTAATCCTCTAAAACGTCTTCGTATTTTCTTTTCTTTTGCAGGCGTTGTATTTCAGATTGACGTTCTTCTTGTCCGTGTGCGCAATACAACGTCATCGGGATGCTGTTCCTTGGCTTTGTTGATTGGATTATTTTGGTTGTAACAGCAATTGCTCTGCTGTACTTGTGAGTTACGATTCTATTTGGTTGTTGTTTATACATAACCCCCGTGTAATTTCGTCTTGCCAACTCTATACCTATCCTCATCTAAGTGTATATCATCTGATGCTAATGGCTGCCTTTTGATGGCTAATGAAGGACAAATTTAAAAACAGGCACCTATGCGGAGCCTGAACATTGCAGACGATAGTTCCCTACGAATATAAATGTGTGATGTTAATCCTTTGAATGCTTGGCTTTGGAAAGCTCCAGACTGCGCCTGACAATAAAATGTGATTCATATTTATTAAGGGATATACTCAAGTAAGCCCTTCGTACAAACTGTTACATTTTTACGTTATTAAACATGAAAAACATGAAAAAAAAACTGTACATTGAAGAACACCCCAACGTTCGTGCGTCGGCCGTTGAGGAAGCAGAACTTTGCACTGATATTTGAGTCACTAGGTGGCACTGGATTTTTAAAAATCTATTAAACTACCCACTATAATTATTTATACATAATGTACACTGACAGAACGAACGGCTAACATGGAAGTCGTAGTTTCCCGATTACAGAACTTATCTTTCGAGACAAAGTCTCGCAGAAGATTAGACTAGAGCCACAGGATGAGCCGCGCCTCCGGCTAACAACGGTTAAGCCATACTGCTGCTTCAAAGTATTAGTGCCAATTATCTGAAGCTCTATCTAAAATAGCGGGAAACGGTTTCCTGGCCTCCAGAAATCCTAAAGCAGTCACGGCTAGCAATCACCAATTTCACGAAAGATCTGCTTAGGGGAGTCGTGGGACTGAAGATAGTGGTGCGTTTATTGGCGTTATACACCAACTGAACTTTCTGATGTCACAGCATAGTAATGGCTTTGCTGTCGGCACAGCGAATGAGTAGACGTTTTGCTTCACGGAGATCTGGTTTCTTGGGAAGCGCTGGCTTGCTCGCAAAGCTGTGCCCGTTACTCGAAAAATGGAATGGATTACAATTACAACTCACCGAGCCTAAGAAGTAATGGATTACCGTTACAAATTACCTTTACCGAAAGGAAACGGACTACTTTTCTCTTTACGTTACCTTTTTACTTTCAAGTTACTTTTCCCCTACAGACAACACTAGGAACAATTTTGATGTTTTCGAAAGTGTTCCGCAACAGTACTTTCCATTTCTCATACGTGGGAAAAGAAAAACACGATGGAAGGCGATGGAAAGAGGGAGAGCCTATGTCGGCGTTGTGTTCTTGATCTTTGGTTTTTCGATTGTCTTTCTATCGCTTCTTGCGAGCGGTCCTACAAAATATCGTGTTTCAGTTTTCGGTTATTCTCCTTTTCGAGATGTTTTCTATCTCGATGAACCTGCTATCTTTCTGCTGCGGAATCGCCCGCTCAAATTGATCCTGTTTCTGTATTAAGTTCATATTTAAAAAATAGTTACGAGTAATTAAAGTAATCCGTAACCAATATTTGTAACAAAATTACTTTGCATATTATTGCCGCAAAAAATAATGCTCAATAACAAGGTTACTTTTAAAAGTAACGGATTACAAGTAATCGTTACTTGTAACTGATTTTATGCAACGTCTGTTGTAAACTGCGCTCTGCCATCTTTGTCTGCTGGACTGTGCAACGCGTTCTAAGCATGCGCTGTAGCTCCCTTGTGCGGTATACCAGACCGTGCGCATACGTCCTCAGTTCAGTGACTCAGCACATTTTTGACCGGGTGATAAGCGCTGGAAAGATGTATTCAGTGTTCGTTCATTGCCTCCTTTGTGAGATATGAATGGTCGCGAGCAAGGAACGAACAAAAAAATAAAAAAAAATAAGAGAGAGCCTACAACCTATGTTGGAGTAGGTTTGATCATTTTACCTTGTCACTGGCTATAGTGTTTACGTCTATGGTTTATGCATTTTCAAGGTGCTTGGCCCTATAACAACTTAGATGAACTTGGTATTGATATTTTTGGATGCGAACGAACATTTAGAAAGTGCATCGATGTCTTCCTTTCGTTCTGACATGTCAAAACTTGTTCTTGAGATGCGAATTCTTTTTATTTAGACGTAGTGCACCACTAAGAAGGCGTATAGCTGTTTGTGCGGCACCGAAAATAAAACAAATAAATGAATGAATAATGCAAACATCCTTTCTGTCGCTCGGTTACTTTTGAACAGAGCTTTTTACGCGCGCGTGCACACACGCACACAGACACACAGAGACACACACACACACACATACACACACATATGTTATTTTTTACACTCGCGAAATTCTTTAAGGATATTAGCGCATATTTTCGATGTTGTTTTGCCGTGCGAATGATCATATTGATTGTGTGATTGAGAAATTTCTTGGCTGATTAGTTATTTGACCAATTTCAATTTTTGCGTCATTCCAGCTACGCGTCAAGGCACCGGAACTACTGGAAGGACCAAAATGTCGTCCATGAAAAGTATTCTTTGATATTAGGACCCATCAGTCGATTCTTCTTCAAAGTAAGTCTCGTTTTGAAAAAGAAATTGCGGCTGTGTTTTGGTCTCTAAACCGTTATACGCAAATTGCATTTTATGAGGAACGGATGCTGACGTCATCTCTAGCCCGGCAATCGCCACCCTGCCATTATTTTTTTCTTTTTTTTAAGGCTTTTGGAAGCAGAAGGCACAGGCATTTTCCCTGTTGTCCCGTTCCGTTTTAAGGAAACCCAGTTCGGCAACCCCACCAAAACCTTCCTCTATTATAGATTAAAACTTCTAGAATCTAGACTATAAAGTATAGACAGAACAAGATACAACACAGCACGAAAGTCATTTAACATTTGTGGAAAAGTTGCTTGGTGTTCGCTCTTTATGGTAATCCTTTCACTCTTTCATTTTTTTTTTTGTGAAGATGTTTGAGGGAACTAAACAAACAGGAATTTCGGCAACAAAATATCAACTGTGTTTTTTTGTTTTTGTTTTACTTTTGCGATATGTCGCTCCCTGTAGTTTCGGTGTTTTCGTCGGTTCGACCATCATCAGTTTGTTTGCACCTTCCTGTTCCAACTTCGTTTGTCCCCCCACGGTACCTACCATGTTCTATGTTTGGGTTCACCTTATGCCGGAGCGCTGTCAAAGCCAGAAGACGATCAAGGACAGAATACAGACATTAGAGGACACTGCAGAATAAAAGCTCAAGGTCGCGGCGCTCTTCCTGGAAGAGCCGGCGGATATGCACGAATAGAGAGACGGCGAACTCCATGGCGTGGCAGTTTCGGCACTGCTTGACTGGCTGGTGACATCGGCCGCGCTCCGACCTTCAGGATTTCACCGTCAGGATTTCGGACAGTGCAAAGCGATATTTTTTTCTACCTCTTTTTTTTTAATTGCTTCTAAAAAATGAATCTAAATTATGCCTAAAGTATTAAAACACACGGCGCATATACCTCACTTCAAATATCCCGTCACTTTCCAGCCTTTCCATATGATGAACCATGAACGATACATCAAGTACGGGAGATTGTTTGGGTGAGCTGCTTTCACACTTCAGTATTTCGCCTATCTAATTAACCGTGCTTTGGCCGTCAGTTCAAAGCAGTAGAGTGCGCTCATCAAACACATAAACATTCTTAACCATGAATTATTGTTACAAACGCACACTTAATTGCACTATTTCTAAGTTCCTTTATGTTTCATTCGTCAAAACATTTAACAGGGGAAGAGTTTCTGAATAAATATCTGTTAAAACAAAACAAAAAAAAAATAGATACGTGCGTTGTGCCTAGTTCTAATCTCCTAATCAGGGCTCGCATTGCTACCATGCTTTAGTATATTCATAATATTCGCATAGAAAGTTAAGAAGAAAAAAAAACAGTTTGATCGTCATTATCGTCATTCACACTCTCGAGTCCCAAGGGAAAATTACCCTGCAGTCTCGGAGACAAAAGAGCCTTCCAGCCTTTTTCTGACTGAACTCAATAATTAAAGATCAATGATTGGTGCAATTTAGGGTTAACGTAAACCGTAACCAGGGGTGCTATGTTCGACAAATGTTTCGTCTCTCCTAAAAAGAAACAGAAGTGACGATATCGTGTCTGATCGGCTAGAGGCTCAAAGGACGAAAAAGAGAACTTTCGTCATTTGAGCCTCTAACCAATCAGACGCGATATCGTCACTACCGTCGCTTCCGTTTCTTTTAAGGAGAAACGAAACATTTGTCGAGCATAGCTTCTGTGCTTACATTTAAGTGTATTAAAGTGAGGAAGGTTTGCGTTGCCACGTGTAGATTTGCCACAGTGCTTTAAACCTTGGAGAACGATCCGAAGAAAAAAAAATCGGCGCCTACACATACCTAGGAATCTGAAACTCTCACCGAATGTGCATTTAAATTGTAGATTTCACCATGTGAAGTTTCAAGGCGTTGATTTGTTCCTGTACAAAAATGAGACCAAACAACTTGAAAAAGTCAAAGATGGACCTGTATCAGGGTATACCAACACACGTCCTCCTTTGCAGACAACACAGTACAACTACTCTCTTGTCCACTGGCTTCGACTATAGAGAGATGGCACCACATTTGCGTTCGTTGCTAACTCGGTCCCCTGCGACTCCGTCCACCATTGACTTTGTCAAGTTTCTTGGTTTTACATTTTACAGGAAGACAAATGCATCTTGAAACCTCACGAGATAAACTCCACATTCGGTGAAAGTGCGACCTTTCTACGCGGACGCGTCAATTTTTTTCTAGTTTGTTTTCCAGCGTAGGAACCACTTCGTCCAGACTACAAGGTTTTAAACCTGTTAATCTTTTTAAGCTTTACGCTGTTAAGCTGTTAAGCTTTTTAAGCGCCCAGACTACAAAGGTTTAAACCTGTAAAGCTTCTTAAGCTTAACGGGTTCGTTTAAAAAAAGTTGTGAAAGTTACACTAATGTGGTTTGTAGAGGTGAGTTGTACGATCAGTCGGAGGGACATAGCTAAGGGGACTAATCGTAACGTTCGGATTATTAACTAAAATATGATAATTAACTTTTAGTTATTGAAAATAAGCATATGGTTCTAATTAGCAACGTGTTCAGCGACATCAAAAATCACTAGGACAGTAAATTTACGAAAGTCTTGGAGCACGTGGGGCGCAGGGTGGAGCGCTAAATTTACCCCTCGTGCAGCAGGAGGAAGGCCATCCGTGCGATATCGCGTCCGAGCGGATTTTCAGACTGTTACCATCACAGCCCCATTATTTTCCTTGTTCGATGAGTGGTAAGTTTAGCGCACTACTGAGCTCCTCACGCGCTCAGGTCCTTTCTAAAGATGACTTATTTTGTGGTTCTCGAAGACGCTCAGCAAGTTTCTATTTGAAACCATGCGTCTATTTTCACTTATTAAAAAGTTAATTAACAAATTCTAGTTAATGCTTTGACTTAACGTGACGATTAGCCTCCTATATTATATCTCCCTGGGTGCATAACTAACCTGCACAAACTGCATTAATGCAACTTTCACGGGTATATATATATTTTTTTTTGACAAATCAGAAGTTTAAAGGGCAACCCCGGTTAAAAACGAAACCGAAATAAATTACTGGTACCGCCTCAGTGACACGAAATATGATCGCAGACGAAATATTACGTCGAAGTGAAGCCGCTTACTCCACTAATGGTACATTTACACTTGCGATTCCGCCAGCGAATCCGCCAAGCTTCTGCCGCTGGGGCGTAACGCTGGGCGGAAAACGCGGCGGCAAGCCGTATAGGTCCGGGACCTATTTCTGCCGCCGAACGAGGCGTTTCGCTGACCGGAAGTGACATTCTTGCGCAGCGCGACGCTGCCTACGTCACGAGTACGCGTTCTTCCGGGAGCAGCAACGCCCGGGAGAGACAGTCGAGATGGGAACGACTCTCGCGCCTTCTCGTCATATTTGACGGGATGTTACGAGAACAGCTGGCCGCAGCCGGTGCAGCCGCCGCCGCTCGAAGGAAATAGATGTAAACGCAACCCGCCCGTCGCCGCCGCCGCCGGAAGCGGATCCGCTCCCGCGGCAGCGGATTTCTTCTCAAGTGTAAACGTACCATAAAACCAGTTTTAAAGATGCTACCAGCTGCTTTTTAGCGGTCGGCAACCGGGTAAGCTTTTAGTCAAGCAACACTGGCGCAGCACCCTTGCGACGTCACGTCGCGGTGGCGCTGCGGTCGGTTGGTTGTACGAGCACCTCAGCGCCCTCGTGACGTTCCGTCGCAACCGTAAGCCTGATGATCAGTGTTGCCATCCTCCTAGCAGATAGTTTAAATTTTTCCGTAGACGACCAAAACCAAATTTTGAGCGGCGATATTTATAAAAGTATACGCAATTTCGAGAAAAAAAAACAAAACAAAAAAAAACCGAAAAACAACTCTTTACCTTGTAATTCAGAAAACAGTTGTAATCCTACATTCAAGAAACGTATCGACCGGAGTTGCCCTTTGAAAAGAAACGCACTGTATAGTATTTACACCCTGAAGGTATATCTTGATAGTATTTAGTTACTGAAGCTATAGTTTGAACCCTGCATCCTTGCGGTTGCCTCGCAGGGTCTTCGAGGGCAGCCAACCGGTACTGGTCGTTGCGGATCCCGAGCTGGTCAAGCTGGTGTTGGTTAAGGACTTTACCAGTCTGCCGGACAGAAGGGTAGGAAACACGCCTCGGACACTGTTTGAAAATGGAACTTTCAAAAGTACCTTAATCTTTTATTTTATAAAAGAAGATAAGTAACCCTATTGAAAATCGCTCTGATGGGACTTCAGGAGTTTTTTAAAGGGTGTGAAGGGGACTTCAAGAATTTCTGAGGTGTTTGACGGGGGCACCGATATTTCCTGGTGGGTTCACTGGCCCCGTCAGAGGCTCTCCTGAAATGTCTGAAGTCCCCTTTACGATGCCTTGAAATGTCTGAAAGCCTGTCAAGAACTTTTCTAGTGGGGTCGGGAAAACCTTCAGGCCTCTTGATATGTCTGTGTGGGCAACGGCCCAGGTGGAAAAAACACATTTCGCAGAATTAATGAACGTAGCTGCTTATTGTACGCTACGGGGGAAAAATAAGTATTTGGAGAATACCGATCGTGTGTGAGTACGGTCAGATTTTTATTACTGCTCTTCTATCAAATACGAGTGGGCTCCTGGACCCGTCTGTCACTGCCCGGGTGTTCGGTCGCGAAAGAGGCTACTGAGGGCGACGGCCCATGTGGAGAATTGACGAGCCGCGGGCCGAGTGGTGTTGGCCGAGCGGCGTTTTGAGGCGAACGCAATCCTGTCCGCTCGAGGCGAAATACGTGCAGCTAGGGTGCCTCAATGTCCTTCTGTTTAGGGTGATGCCACCCTTTGTAGTACCCGATGCCGACAGCACGCGCTCACGGCTAAAATACAAAGAAATCGACGAAAACAAAATGTGGCCGTAGCACAGTCAGCGCCACGAGCGCGTGCAGGGACACGTTCTTTCACGCGCTTCTGAACAAAAAATAAAAATAAAAGTGTGAGACAAAATGGCCAGATGTCTCCACCCTAAGCAAAGCGCACATGAAGGCACCCTACGTGCAGCCATGTATAAAAAAAAAAAAACAAGGAAAAAAGAAAAAAAAAAAGAAGAAGCCGAGAGCAGTGCGCGCTTTCCAGGAACAGGGACGCACGCGGGAGCGACTCGTTCCGGGAACCGGTCCCCCCACGGGGGACTGTCCCCAAAAAGCAATCGCCTCTCTCCGCCCGGCGACGGGGAGAGGGTGCAGGCCTGCCAGGCCAGCGGTCGGGGGGAGGAGGGTGGTGTGTGCAAGCGGGGGAGGCCATAGCCATTTTCTCTCTCCTCGTGTGCGGTTCCGGTTTTCCCACGAGCCGGGATGTTTGGAGCGGACCGATTCCCTACAGGAAGGTGAGCATGCATGGTTTTTAGGGCTCGCCCCTTGGTCTGTTTTGATCCGTGCAGTTTCTTTCTTGGTACCGCAGGTGAACCATAGTTCGGCGCAGGCCGCCTTCAGCACCGCTCGAGCGCCATTGTGTTCAGCGCATTCAAGGAGATGGTGGCCGGTGTCGGCTTACTCGCTGCAAAGCCTGGCAGTCGGGGTCAGCGTCCCACCGCATGTTGTGCCTGCGCACCAAGATTATGCCACTGTGGGTGTTGAGACAGTGGATGACGGCCGCTGCCCGGACTTGTTCCTTGCGCCTCTTCGTCCGTCCGACTTCAGACCAGCGAGCGAAAAATACGCCGAAGACTCCGGCGCGATGTCATCATGGACGAAACCGTGACTGTGCTCGGGATTTCTCAACGGCGGCGGGTGCTGCTTACGAGTTCGTGGTTTTCGCTAAACGTGCTGACAGACTGTGTATGTGTCCGTGAGGTGCGCCTGCTCTGTTTTATTAGCTGAACTACCGTACATCAGGAATATACCCAGCGGCATTGTGAGTACTTTGAAAGGTATTTTCCTTTGTGATAAGGATGTCAGATGTGATCCCTTTCGTCTACAGCTCCTTGCGCCGGGTTTGAACAAGCGTTGCTTTTTGAGTTCTAATATGCATGTAAAACTAAATTTCGGCAATAAATTTTCAGTGTCTTGACCTGCATTTTTGTCTATGGTTCACAGTCCTTTGGGCGTCTAAAGGGTTGATGGGCTAAAGGGCCTGAGGGGTCGAAGGGCTGTAGGGCTAAAGGGTTTTTCTATGGGGTATCCTTGAAGGGTTTTTCTGTAGGGTATCTTTGAAGGGTTTTGAAGGCCTGTGTGGTCCCATAATCCTTCAAGGCTGACGGGCCCTTTAGAAATATTTTCAATAGGGAATGTGTATACGATATAAAAGCAAGGTGAGATGCTTTTATTGCTTTAGTTAGTTAATAAGGTCAACTAATGAAACAATAGAATCAAAACAAATATTATTGCACTTTTTCCTTCCTCCCCCGCCAAGTTATGCCAGCTCGTTTTCAAATTCTTTGGCATGCGCACAAAAGTTAAACTTCAGTCGACCTTTTTCTTGTTTTTGTTTTTTTTTCTTTTTTGTCGAATTTGGGGTTCGACTGCTTCGGCGAACCTTCAAGCTTTTAGGTAAGTTCGACGACGAATCGAGATATGGTGAATGCTGCCTGGCTTCTAAGCAAAAAAAAATAAAAAAATGTTTCGGATGTTGAGCAACCATTACATATATCTATAAAATATTACGACAATTGGCCTGGCGCAAATGAGTAATCAAGCGTGATTTTCTTCCCCTTTTGTCCCGAAGCCCATCCCGTTCGTTCAACCTCTGCTGGAAGAAATGATGGCCTTCGTCACTTTGAAGAAATGGAGGAAACTGCGCCCCTCGGCGAGTCCAGCATTTGCCTCGGGAAAGCTGCGCAAGGTGAGAGTTTCGACATATGCCCGCTCGACTTCAAGGGCTCCTCCAATGACTTTTTGAACTGGTTTGATGCTCCGAAACGAACCTCGTCGAACGTAGAAGCACGGAGAAAACATTTTTGGCCGGAAATTCGAATTATTGTGGCAGTTATGACCTAAATAAAATTAGAAAAAGAAAAGGAACATTTTTTTTCTCCACGACACAATCGACTAATTTCAAGGATTGTACGGATGGAGCGAAAAAGGGCATAGGGAGCGAAGCGGCTAGCCAATCGGCTGCGAGTTTTTTTGCCGCGCCGATAACGCGCACGAATCGTCGCCTCGTCGGCCTCATCGCTAAAGCCCTCGCATCACTTCAAAACATGTCTGTGCGTCTACTTTCACGCACAACATTCGGAGAGCCAATCAGCGCAACTTACGGAGGCAGCTCAGCGAATGTCGATGCGAAAACATCTGTTTAGACCAAGAAAACGCAGTCTGAGTTGTGACATTAAGCAATGCAAAACGTCACGCTTGCATTGCTTAATGTCACAACTCGGACTGTATTTTTTGGTAAACATATGTTTCGGCATCGTTATTCGCTCAGCTGCCTCCGTAAGTTGCGCTGAATGGTTCTCCGAATGTCGTGCGGGGAAAGTAGACGCACGGTCCTTTTTTGTAGTGATCATCTTATGTTTAGGCTCCGAACGCGATCGGCTTTACCAATGGACGTGGGCTGTTTATGGTTCGGTGTCGGCGAACCCAAATTCGCGCCGTCGTAGAACGATGTTCGTCGTCCACTTCGTCGCACCCGTCATAAAATCCAGCGCGGTGGGATCAAAGTAGCGATTCGGGGCAGGGAGTTGAACCCCGATAGGCTCGAAGGGGAAAAATATCAAATGCTGGGAATGTCGAGTGCAAATAAGCATTTATTTTCTATCAAATGCCACACGAAAACCATCGAGAGAAAAAAAAAAGACTAAGAGATTACGATGTCGCTTCCGTCAGAGCATCTGCCGGCAGTTTTCGAAGGATATGGTGCGGTCGCGTTTCGCAGACGTCTTTCCCGTTGATTTGCGCATAACATCGAAGGGAGCGAATGATCCCCAAATTACGCCGTTTAAGGCGCTCGAAATAGCAGCGCACTTCGAATCATCTCGGGACATTTTGCAATTGTTCTTTTGAGCGGGGACGGCTGCCGGCGAGATACGACTACCGCATGATCATACACAGCTCATACACGTGGTCGTCCAGAATTCTGATTACCTCTACCTTTGGTTCGTCATCGAGCTTTAAGCTTTGGATGGCACCTCGTAAAAGCGCGTCCGGCTCGTTAGGCCTACGAAGCGTCTCGGGGTAGCGCATAGATATCCCACACGCTAGGTGATGTTAAAATGCAGAAAGGGAACAAATTGGCTTAGCAGGGCGGGGAGATGAATCATAATTTGTGGTTTCTCGGCAAGGTGGCGCAAGCTACCGCCCATTACATACTGTTTGGTTATTAGCATTCATCGATTCATTCTTGCGCCTCTGAGACAGCTCTGTAAGCTGACTGCGTCTGACTCTGTATATGCTTGTATGTTGCATAGAGGTAGGAAACTTCTGAAGATGACATGGCGCCATTAGAGGTGAAGCCGGGGGGAGTCTTCCTGGTTGGAGGGACACGCCCGCAACGATGACCAAACCCATAAGCCGCTGTTGGACGAAATGTAGGGCTTATTTATCGTCGATGGCTGTCTGGTCACCCTAGGTGGCACTCCCACCGACAGCAACCTCAATTTTTGTATTCCCTTAGGATTTTCTTGTTTGGCTGGTATGAGCCGGTATGTCGCCTCCTCTTCTTTCTACCTCCATGATATGTTGTGATGTGTTGTCCATGTCAACAGCGCTCTGTTATCCTCTCGAGCATGGTGTTTCAGAAAATGCAATTCTCCCGTTTATTTTCGTAGTTTTCTGCATGCTCACTAGGAGGCGCAAGCAGCCGCCCAATTTTATTTTAGCCGTCTATACGTCCGTTTACTGCCTAGGGAACTATAATCATTAGCTGCGTTCGACTTACCTGCACCTCCTCCACCGGTGCAGAAAAATGTAGGGTGGTGACCTACACTTTTGAGGTTTACCCACTATCCTTCCAATCGGAGCCAATCAGAACTATGCGTCGTTGTGACGTCACCGCCACCCCTGCAAACGAAGCTGACGAACTTGCTCTCCGCAAAGGTGGCGCAGCGTGGACTCACTGTTGATGACGTGTTGTGGGCAAAGGCGCAGGCATTTTCTTCTATGTGGTTTCGGTTGAGGTAACCGAGTACCCAAGGTTATCGCCGCACCGCCCAACAAAGCGTAAAGGCGGGTTTTTTTTGTTTTTTTTTACAGATGTACCCACGGATAAATGACAGCATCCGTGCTACGGTTACGTTTCTTAAGGAGGCTGCTGAAAAGGACACAGAAGTGGACATAAGAACGTGAGTCTGCTACCATACCGCCACCATTTTCTTCGTTCCTACAACCGCTTCGTCAGACCCATCGGCATGCAATGCAAAGAGGAATTTCACCCCCTACTTGCGTGTAGCACGAAGTCCGCCTTTCCTTTCAAACCTTTGGCTTTTTAGTCGGGTTGATGTTGTTGGTGTTGTTTATACTTTTTGGGTTTTCGGAGTTTTTTTCTTATTTTTAAATCGATAATTTCCTTTTATTATCTTTTCCACACATTTTCGGTGTTTTTCAATATTTCTTTTGAACGTCGAGCCAACAACAAATGTAAGTTTTTAATGACGCTTAGATCGACGCAAATGGTACACCGGATTTGGATTTCCCAACTTCGGGGGAACTTGCATGGGACCCTGCGAATACTTGAAAAAAGTCACGGAACCTACATGAGAATAAAACGAGATTGAGTGATTTGTTTCCCGAAAAATCATGCAGCCTCGGGAAAGTGTTGTACGAGTTCTTGCAAACCAAAAGCGAAAGCTTTTTTCTCGTTCCTTCTCAATCTTTGGAACGAGTTCCCGTTAAAAATTCCTGTGGTTCGAAAGGAACGCGTTCGCGCTACACGTCTAAGATAGGAACGTGTCGTTACAATAACGTTACATTTTCCGTATTTTAACGAAACGTTCTGCGGGATAATCCGTAGATAAAATAGCGAGCAAGGGTAAATACCCGTATGGAACTCAAATTGTCGAGTCGCCACGATCACATTTGTTTAATTTTTTTCGTTTTAGATTTTTTTTTTTTAGGTTCTTCCCTATTCCTTGAATTCGGAGGTTGAGATGGCCGAGAATAAATCACGTAAAGTCCTACCGAATTCAAGTAAAATTGTAATAAATAGACAAAAAAAAAAAAAACGGCGGTTTTTTTATCGTTTTCTGGAACACGTAATGATCGAGCTCCCGTTCCAGTTCCACCGACACGAGATGGAACTGTGGCGTCCTTTCCTCCCTCTTAAAAGGAACGTCGTTCCATGAAACGCCGTTCCGTACACTTCCTCGCGGACAGTTCAGTGGGGGCCGTGCTTTGGGTTAACCCAAAGTAAACCTGGAGATAGATAACGTCTACTCTTAACTTATCGTCCCGAAGTTTGCCGGTATTTATCAAAAATACGGAGCTCTATGTTTTTTCCCCCAAGTGATTCGTTAGTTCAGGCAGGTTTCATTCGGTGCTTTCCGTTCACGTGTCCTCTATACCAATTTAATCCCCAAGCTAAATTTAACGGGAAACCTCAAGTCACGTGACCTATTCACCAGTTTCGTTTCACCGCTAGATTTAACCGGAAAATTGAGGTCACGTGACATATATACACCAATTGAGTTTCCTCGCTAAGTATGGCGAGGAGTTTCTTGTCATGTGATCTAGGCACCGTGAGTGTCCCGGCTAAATTTAGCGAGGAAATCGATACCACTAGTTCTCCTACACTCCCCGAAACGGCTCACTTAACGCGTTCGAAACGAATATAAACGATCGCTCCCTGAATACCGCATTTTTGATTTATTTATTTATTTATTTACAGATACTACTGCCTTCTCAAGGAGGGCGTTGTAGGACGGGCTTCTAAACAATGACTGAAACGTACAATATGGGACAAGGCCAGTGCAACGAACATATTAAAGAGCAGAAACCGTGAAACCGACAACCGACGACATTTTAGCATTTACGCTAGAAAGCGAACAAGACATTGAACGATGTTATATACACAAACGACCAACACAACTTAGTTCGAGATATATAGCTGCCAAACTATTTCAGGAGCAGTGCATTGAAAAATTGGCTAACAGACAGCAGTCACAACAAAATCAAAACAATAAGCAATAAGTAGCCTCGAGGTTATTTAAATAATGAAAAGAGCATTTCTTGCTTTATAAACCTTGAAATAAAGGTCGCTGCCATTTTTTTTTTCTTTCTAGCTTGTTCTCCAATTACGCCCTCGACGCCATTGCCAGATGCGCCTTCGGCACGAAAATGGAGTCTCATCTCAAAGAGGTCGACGATTTCGCCGCCAAAAACAAGTCCTTTTTCGCTGCTCCCCAGGCTCTTTCCGGCGTCATTTCGCGTAAGACTCGTGTGCTTATAGACCTACTCATGTTTGCAAATAAACCGGAGCGCCCCTAGCGGACGCCACCGGCGCCGCGCATGCGCGATGGAGTGTGGCCAAGAAGCTCGCCGTCGCCCATAAACAAACCATTGAAATGCGATGTTGTCGGCGTCGGTGTAAGTTTCCGTGCTCTTTTTTTTTTTTTTTTTTTCTCGTTGGAATTGTTGATTTTACGTCTTCTTGGGCAATGTCTGACTACTTGAGTGGCCTTGGCGAAATTACTGAAGCTCGTTACACCGCAAAACTTCGCTTGAATAATATGACAAGCGGCGAGTCATTCCGTGTGGACGCCGCAGAATGGACGCTAAAGTCTGATTCGCAAGATGAGATTCCGCTCGCAGTTTTCAGTCGCAACGTCGCTCGGGCTGCAAAAGCGTGAACCGTAGCTGGAGATGGTCGACGTCGATACTGAAAATCGCAAGCGGAATCGGATCGAGTGAATCAGGCATAACAAGTTGGTGATAGCCACTGCTAACAACGATCAGCATGTCATTTTATCTACTGTTTACACCGAGCCTGCTTACCCCAACCAACATCTAAACTTAAAAAAAGTCCTTTAAGGCCTGCACTTACGTCTTATCGCAATTACCGGGTCAGCATATGGTCTACGGGCCGGTGTCGTTTGCCACGAGCAGACAAGAAGCAGAAACGTTTGAAAGAGTAGACGACAGTTCGAACGATAAAGTGGTCGTTTGAACTTGAAGACGCACTGAACGTCAGGCACGTAGCCAAGGGAGGGTGGGGCCCATGGCCTGTTTTGAGGTCACGTGTGCCACGTCACGGATGTTTGTTAATCCCCCGTTTACGTGGAGAGCAGCGCAGAATCTGCGGCCGACCTACAGAATATCTGTCGTCCCGTCCGAATAATCGCTTTCCCTCCTTTTCGGGAAGGATTAGGGTCAGTAGCATTGATCAAGGGAAAGCGGGGCGAAGCTATCCCCAACCTAAAGTTTGCGTCGTTCCGTGCATTTCGCGCTAAACTTAGCGAGCAAATTGTTGTCACGTGACCTAAACACTAATTCAATTTTTCCGCTAAATTTAGCGAGAAAACCTGATGTCAACTGACCTTACGTTACGTCCAGTTTTTCTTTTTTCAGTTTTCCCGCTAAATTCAGCGGGAAAAATTGACGTCACATGACCTCGAGTTTTAGGTAAAAAATGCTGTCACATCACCTATGCTACACAAGACTTTATACAGACTTCTAAACAAATTAAAACTATCACTTCTTAAATACTGCCATTACTATTATTTTTCTTTCCCTGCGCCACGTTTAAGGCAGTGAACGTCACAGACTACAGGTTCGTGCCAAGAAAGACTCCGCCGACACAACCAAACGCGATTCCGTCGTGCATAATTGCTCGCTCGTATTTTCTGCACCGGCTTCTCCTTTTCGCAACTCCGTGAGGTCTGTCGTGCGGATCCACCGCAAACCAAACTTGCACCACTGCTGATACATCATTAAAAGAACACGGTGTTCGCGGCACACAGAATGATGTGCGGACACACACGCCTCACGTATGTCCGAAGCACGATGGCTTCACATATCTGTAATCTTCGAAACTATCTGCAGGCAGTTTTGTATGGCCTGTGTGATTAAACACGCATAAAACACTGTATGAAGAATGTTTTTGTTTATTTTTTTTTGTATAATGTATGATTTATTTATTTATTTGTACATACTGCTAGCCCGTAGGGCCGTGGCAGGGAGGAAAAAAAAACAACAAAAAAACACACACACACAAAAAAAAGAATATGACTCATACCTCCAACAGAGCTACGAACAATAAAGTGGTTACAAGATTAAATACAAAACGCGCCGAGAGCGCAAAATAGAAAACAAGAGCACTAAATGCACGTAAAAAGTGATAATAAATTTAACAATGACAATATACTGACAAAAATTATCACCAATAACTAATAACTGAGGGCACGTGCCGTGTACAAAAACACTATATACAAAAGAAAAGCAGTACAATATTTAAAGTATCACGTAATATATGCATATTTAACCCCAAAAAGAGAGAAAAAAAAAAAAAGACAAAATAACACCAGGCAATATGCTCACTCTTTAAACAGAGTAAAAAAGTCTAACGGCGTCTTCGAACACTGAAACATCGTCGTGACTTACGATATGTTCGGGAAGCTTATTCCAATCGTTAATTGTATTTGCAAAAAAGGAATACTTGAAAACATCGATTCTGGGCAGATACGACTGCAATGCTTTGGAATGATTTAATCTAGCTGATCTATTGGTTATGTTTCTAAGATAAGTGTCTCGGTTGATCTTTACTTGTCCATGATAAATCAAAAACAAAAACTTTAGGCGTGCAATTTTTCTCCTAACCGCTAAGGGTTCAAGCCCGCAGGCACTCAACATTTCTGTCACAGAGGACGTTGATTTGTAATTTGAAGTTATGAAACGTGCAGCCTTCCTCTGTATTCTCTCGAGCCTGTCTATGTCAGTCTTGGTTGCGGGGTCCCAAACGACAGAGGCATATTCTAGAGTGGGTCGTATTAGAGTTTTGTAGGCCGTAAGTTTTATTTCTTCATTGCTATTTTTAAGTTTATTTTTAAGTTTATTTCCATGATCTCGGAATAGGCACGAAACCTCGACGAGTCATTGTCCCGTCTCGTGTGAGTTGTTTCGATTATGAACAAGGGTCACTAAGTTGCCCATCTTACTACCTTGCTGTCGCTCTAAGTTATACCTGTTTTTTTAACGTTTATTTATTACCGATTCGTGTTTCAACCTGTTTCAGTGTTGCTCCCTAGTCTGGCGAAGCTCTTGCGGCTAGATGCCCTCAAATCCGATAGGCTGCCTTATTTCATGGCCCTCTCGGAATCGATCATAAGGGAGCGAAAACACCAAGAAAACGTGAGATGAACTTCTTCCTTTGAAATTTCTACGTGCGAGGGCTTTTCATTTTGATTTAACGTGGTTCCTAAAGCCCTTTCATACTCTTGCGGTTTGCTTACGACCGAGTTCTTGTTACCTCTTATGACCAGAGGACACACTGGTACGCTGGCGCCATCTAAGGTGACCTTGGAACTGCATTTCACTAGAGCGACGGTGGTTTTGCGGTGTTTGCGAGATGAAGTGTAGGAAGCATTAATGAGAAATGGTCGCTTGTAACATTGTCAAAAGTCAAGTAAAGTCCTGCCAACTTGGCTTCACTGATTATGTCTCCCGTATGACAGACGAAACGTCCGACTAAATTGTTATATTTGTAATGTAAAGTCGGTGTAGTTTGATTCATCGTGATATGTTCCGGCTTCTGGGACATTTTTGCATTCTCAAACGTTTTTCGAGACGATGAGTAAATAGTGATGCTAAAAAAATGTAATGGAGCGCAGCGGAACGAACGGTTCTTGAAATTCTTTGACGATTACGCTTTGGTAGATTGTAGAGTGGGGACCCTTAGCGGCTTTTCCCATCACCTCCCACCTTCCACCTGCCCCGCGGCTCCATCTGCTAGTGTCGTTTGACGTCACGTGACCTAGATCAGAAAGGGTTAACCTATCGGCCACTCGGAAAGGTCGCGTGGCCAGGAGGGGTGGTGCGGGAACAGTACCGAGCTGACAACGGGGACGAGCGGCCGCTACTGACTTGCTCTTGAGTCTTGACTGGACCCCCGAGCGAGAAGGACCTACCTGGCTGCTGTCGCGGACTCACGCGGACGTCGACATCGGGCCGCCTCCGTGGGTGCCGGCGCTGTCCGCCTCAGGCCATCCTATTGTCAAGACGAGGAAAAATTGACCATCCTGGGACAGCGGGCTCAGGCCGAACCTCCACGCCCCCCGCAGGACCGGGCCGTGAGCGAGTAAACAGTTCCGTGAGAGCTTGACTGCGATGTGATCCCATTCGGAGGTGACCGGTTGGAAATGTAAAAAACGACACGAGGGAAAGGAAAAAAAGAATAAGTGAAATGAATGGAAATGCCAAGTGTTCCAAAGCTACCCGATAGATGGCGCCAGTGTGCTCAGATTTTAAAATGGTTTTAAGGCATTCAGTAGCAAGAACAAGCAAGTATTTCGTCTCTTTCTGTCCCTGTTTATAACGCGCTGTTTCTATTAATATTATCTCAAATCATCAACTCGCTCAAGGTTCCATTTCAACAAGCTGAAAATATGCTTAGACCTAAAAGAAACAGGTCTGCGCTGTGGCACTAAGCATGGTGTTACGTCATGCTCAAGGACGTAGCACCATGCCCGTCCTTCGTCGAACTCCCACCACAGTTAGCAGCGACTGACTCTTTCGAGTGCTTAGCCGGAAAAGTAGGCGCTCCAGAATTCTTAAGAGTGTATTGATTCGTGTATTCAATATGCACCAACACAGGACCCTGACGCCATGCAGCTCAGGTGGCGGTGCTTATCAATTGATGGTGAATTCTTATGCGAAGCGCAAGTTCGTCTGCTTCGTTTGCAGCTAGGGGTTGTGGTGACGTCAGAAAGATGCCGAGCACTGGTTGGCTCTGGTTGAAAAATAGAGGGTAGACCTCAAGGCAGCTTGCTTTGAGGTCTACCCACTATCCTTCGATCAGAGCCAATTGGAGCCCGGCGTTCTGACGTCACCGAAACCCCTGCAAAAAAAGCAATCGAACTTCGATGATAACTTGCTCGGGTATCGCCATACCCTGCGTGAGTGCCTATACTCTAGGAGTGCGCGCGGCCCGGTGTAGTTACGTAAACCACACACCCGATTTGCAGAGACAAGAGGACTTCTTACAACTCATGATGGACGTGCAAGAAGAGACCAGTTCCTCTGGCGCTGATTCCCAAACTGACGACAGACTTTTCAATCCGGAGTCCGGCTCCAAAGCCTTTTCCATGGGCAGAAGAAGGGGTCTGTCTTTTTTGGCTACGCGGCGACTGGTCCACTTCATTCCAGTGCAGAATAGACTCGTTTCAAAAGTGCGCGCCACCCAATAGTTGCTGCGCCAGTTATCCGAATCTTCCACTGGCGTTTGTTCCCCTAATATGATCATGTATTAGACACGGGTGCCGCGTCAGCATTCGGCGAGGGCTCGAATCAAATTAGGTGCTTCTTTCCCAAGAAATGGCGACTGCCATTGATGCTTTATGGACTTTTCAAAGGGTGTACTGTCCCGGCACAAAATGCATTTTTAGATCTAATATCGTATCCCGAGCTCTGTCGTTTGCTAGGCCCCTTCTAGTGTTCGCCGTATTTCACTAATTCTCCATGTTCTACAAAACGAAATTACGTGTTTTGTTTTTATTGTGTATAGTATTTACGGGACGACAAGCACAGTGATTGGGGAATTAAGTGCTGGCGCCTTTTCCCACGTTTCAGCCTTGACGAAAAGCGAGGCGCTTGCCCAGTGCATCATGTTCTTTCTCGCTGGCCGCGACACGTCTGCGACGTTGCTGGCACATGCCATCTACATGCTCGCCCTGCACCCCGAAGCCCAAGCAAAGCTGAGGAAAGAGGCGGACGAATGCTTCGAGAAACACGTAAGGAAATCGGGGAGGCGGGTTTGGCAGTCATTAAATGCAAGACATGCACATCCGTCATCATTATTGGATCTTAGCGGAAAACAAACAGCGCAAGGACAAGGACAGAGTAGAAGGCGGTAGACACACACAGCGCTGTTTGTTTTCCGCTAATATGAATGACCAACCAGCCCACTCGTCAACACTACTGAATTATTGGATCACACACCCGCCCTAAGTGGCAATCGCGCTGAGGCTTCACGAGAGTAAGGAAGAAAGCGGTAGACGCACGCGTCTTATCGTCCTCGCGTGTCAGCATTTCGCTCGTTGGCAGACGCTGCAAGACCAGCTGGCGACGACACTGACGCGAGCTAAACGGTGCTGCATGAATCAACTATTGGTGACGTTTAGGAGGAAAGGCGTGGACCAAATGTCTTTTAGGCGGTTTTGGGTATGCACCCTCAATAGACCTTTTTCAAAACTCAGTCAGGCAACTTTGGTAACAATCATCATCAGCAACAGCAGAGGTGGACAGTGGATAGCACTGACAGCGGCAGTGTAGAGGAGGTGCAGATTTGTATCACAATGGAGACGACCACAAGGGAATGGGATAAGGCAGAAAGTAAGGTTCCAGCAGTGTTGTAAGGAACGGCGTTCCTGGAAATCGTACCTTTTAGGAGGAACGAAGGAACGCCGCCGTTACATCTTGCATCGGTGGAACTGGAACGGGAACTCATTCCCTTTTTACTAGGACGGAAACAAGAACGGCGTTCCTTTTTTTCGTCCTGCGAGGTAATTTTTATTTTATTTCTAAGAGGGAAATTCTAAAAGTATTAAAAACAATATATTTACAGAGAGCGGGATCTCGTTAACTGTTTGGTTACTCTTCTTAGGTTTTATTTAGTGTGGTCCTTGTTTGGTAACACTCACGTGCGGGAAAGCCAGTAAACATTGATTCCTCTTTTTTTTTTTTTAATTGGGGGGGAGACTGTGGTACAAAACTTTTAGTCGAAGGAAAAGATAAAGAAAGCGAGACTTTTCAAACTCAGCTTTGTTTTTTTGCTTCAACGCATCTTCATGCACCCAGAAAGCTAAGGCCAACTACAGCCATCACCGACTACAGCCATCACTGAACTTCTACAAAAAGACCTACAGTTGGTCACTCGAAAGATACACAAAAACAAAACTTTGTTCCTTCTCCCCTTATCCCCCCTCCTTCAAACTTCACAAACAATCCAACCTTCACGAAGAAGGGCTTGTAGTTTTCAAGGCTGACTTTCCCAATGCACTACCCTCTTCTTAACTTGCTTCTCTTGCGGACAGCAACACCGAGAAGCAACTGTTGTCAAGTTCAAACAAGGGACTTCGTTAGATTGAAGCGTGTGAGGTTGTTGTTAAACGCTCATGCAATATGGGGAACAGTACACTTGGCTGAGTTGGCTCGTGTGAATCGTCCTCCACAGACATGAAAATGGTTAAAAGCTGAGATTTGTAAAGTTGAATATATCAACAAAACAAACCCTGCTTCCGCTTGTTTTCTTCTCTTGGGTACCCTTTCATCACGGCATACAAAATCGCATGTTCCCATTTGATGGGATAGATGAGAAAAAGAAAACTTTACTTAATCTAACTAAATGTGGTAATCAGTAAAATACAAATGTAACGTATAGGTAATTATATGTTCCATTTTTGTCACTGTAACGGGAGCGAGTTCCTTTCTCACAGATGGAGCTTGTAACGGGAACGCGTTCTAAAAATCAGAAGGAACGAGGAACGAGCTTTCGGTTCCTTTTTTTTAAAAAAACGTGTGCAACACTGGTCTTGAGCGGGTGCAGCGACAAGCGCAGACGACACAAGTATACTAGGAAAAACAAGCGGATTGAAGTTGTGGAATGTGATTAATCAAATAATTATGGGAAAAGAGGTACCTGATGATCGAAAACTAGGTAAAATGATACTAATTTATAACGGCAGGGGTCCACGAATGACAACCTAATACACAGACCTCGTCTTCTGAGTGGTATTGGCCCAAGTGGTCAGAGTTTATGTTTGTGCAGGGTTACAAGATAATTTAAAGGTTCTTTTGTTGGAATCATGGATTTTTTTTTTCTTTCAACCAACACGGCATTCAGACACAGCGTTTAGATCACCATCTTAAAACTAAACACGTACACGCGCAAACTAACATGTACACAAATTCGCGTCTTCTCGCCTTTTCGCATTGGAACAGCCTTTCCAAGGAAATTGCATCCATTAGTGATCATATGTCTACTTTTTTTTTGTAGCCGTGAACGTGACGAATATTCGCATATCAAATATAACGATATATATTAAACAGGTACTATAAAAATATGTGCACAAAACAGAAGACGAATATGGCAATTCAACTTAATCCATAGATTAAGTTGAATTTCCATATTCTTCTGTTTGATGAAAGCTATAATTCTGATAGTAATTTTTAATATATATTTAATTGCTGCCGAAAAAGTCGATATGCGTTGAAATATTCGTTGTATGCATGAATTGCATATTTTTTTATGTGTGTTGCTTGTTTTTTTTTTCCTCAAATTATTCTACTGTTTGTGCGTTTAGGGTAAGTAAATATTTAAATACAAAAAAATTCAGCCTCATTTTCTTTTAAGCTGTAGCTTTTAAGAATTAGGTCGGTTTACCTAACGACAGAAATGTTTTGCGCTTTTTTCTGTGATTAAGCCGAGAAACGTGAAAGCATGTGTTTTCTTAAAAGTTTTTTTTTTCTAACCTTGATTTTTCACATCCGGGCAGTTTTTAAAAGCGAACGGTTGCGTCTTACTTAAGTTAAGAGGTACAATAAATAGGACAATTTTTTTGTTGTTGCTTCCCAGGGAGAAGAGTTAACAATGGACGTGGTTGCAAAGCTCAAGTACGTTCGTGGGGTGGTTTCGGAGACTCTCCGGATGCTGCCACCTGCAACCAGGTGAGGACGATTTGATCTTGGAGAATTCCCCATTCGGGCTTTAGCCAACGACTTCACTTTCCCTCTAAGCGTAGTAATGTCCTGAATCGTTTGGGACACCAAGGCCCATTCACATATTTCCGTTTTCTAACGATGCATGTTTTGTTTTTGTTTCGGAAGTTTATCGGCAAACGTAGCACAGATGTCCTGGTGATTCATGGTGTAACCTAAGAAGACTTAAGCAAACAATGCTCCGTGAATGGGCCTTTAACTACATTCTAAAAAACAAGTCCGCGTGGTTGCTTTTCTGCAGAACATAAAGACCGCCAATCGTGAAGGATGAGAGTGAATAGCAAAACTCAGGAAACGACAAAAAAAAAAAAAAAAAAAAAGAAAGTGCCACGTTTGCATAAACAGTAGACATGATTTGTTGCTGTTTTTCTTTTTTTTTTTTTACTCGCTCATCTTTCCTCCGCACATTTCATTTTGAGATTTAATCCTATTCCGAGTTTCGTCATTCGCTCGGATCCTTCAATTGTCCGCCGGGGTTAGCTGCTTTTATAATGTGCAGAAAAATTAACACGCATGTTATATATATATATGTCATCATCATCATTTATTAAACCTTGAAGGCCATTGCTGGCATTACACAAGGTGGGAGTAACTGCTGAAGAAACAATATATAAAGGAACAAACAAAAAGTGGGTTACATGCTGGAAAACATTGTGATATAAAGCAGCAAAAACAGGAAAAAAAAAACACTTAAAACATTTTTAGGGAAAAACAGCTGATGAAACAGAAAAATACCCAAACAAAACATTTCTATGAACACGAGTTGACTTTGCTATTAGTGCAAATGCAGATGGATGGTCAGTTGGGATATGAATGTATTATAATCTGTCTGGGTCACGATACTGTTAGGCAGGCTATTCCAGTCCGTTATTGTGAATGGCAAGGTGGAGTTAAAAACGAAACTGACGAGGCGAAAATTGGACGAACTTTACAGACGTTATCAATGCGAGGAAATATGCGAGTGGCTGGGGATAATAGTGAAGTTCTGATGTCATGGTTATGATAGCAAATCTTGTGAAAAAGAGACAGGCGTGATAATTTTCTTCTGGTTGAGAGGAGATCAAGGTTAGCTTTCATTCGTAAAGAAGTGATGCTGGTGTCTCGTGAGTAATCTGAAAAAATGAATCTGATTGCGCGATTTTGAAGTGCCTCTATGTTTGTTATCAATGAATGTTGCCAAGGGGACCAGATGGATGACGCGTATTCAAGTTGCGATCTTACGAGTGTAGTGTAGGCTAGTTGTTTAACTGATGATGGTGCTAGTTTCAGATTCCGTCGAAGATAGCCAAGAGAGCGGTTAGCATTAGACAGGACGTGTGTTATTGCGTGTTCCATGAGAGATCGTCAGATAAGGGAACACCCAGATATTTGTAAGATGGACACTTGGTAATTACCTGACTGCACATAGTGGACAATGAGCACGCGTGAAGGAAACGAGATTTGTTTTAGAAACGTTAATTGCCATTTTCCACTGTTTACACCAGTCGGCTATTAGGTTAAGGTCAGCTTGTAGGGTTATGTCATCGTTCAGGTTAGATACAGATCGGTAAATTACGCAGTCATCAGCAAAAAGTCGAATACAGGATGTTATGCGATGTGGTAGGTCATTTACAAATGTTAAAAAAAGCAGAGGTCCGAGAACACTGCCCTGGGGGACTCCGGATGATATGTACAGGAGAATAAGCTGACGACTGGTTGTTAATCACAGTATGCTGAGTACGATTGGTTAAAAATTGTCCTATCCATGATGTTAGGAGTGGATGACTGTGAAGTTGGTTTATCTTGAGCATGAGTAAACTGTGGGATACCTTATCGAATGCTTTAGAAAAATCAATGAATATGGCGTCTGTCTGTATGTTATTATCGATGTTACTGTGTATTTCATGAACAAGGTGTACAAGTAGCGTTTCGCAAGAATATGATTGTCTGAACCCGTGTTGGTTTGGAAAGAGGATGAGGTTATTTTCGAAATGCTTCATGACATCTGAATATATTATGTGCTCAAGTAGCTTGCAGGGGACACTGGTTAGAGATATAGGACGATAATTTGATGGTGAAGCTCGAACCCCCAATTTGTGTATGGGGACCACTCTGCCAATTTTCCAATCTGTAGGAAGCTCGCCGCAAGACAAAGATTGTTGGAAGATAATTAACAAAAAACGAGCTGAGTGTAATTTAGTGTTTTTCAGTAATTTGGAATTAATTTTGTCGACCCCAGAACTCGACGACAACTGTAACCTTTCTATAGAGCTCATGATACCTGCATACGTTATTTCAATGGCAGCCATGGGAGTGTGATATGCGTTGTTAAGATGAGGCATGTTACTGTGGTCATCTGTGGTGAAGACTGAGGTGAAATAGTCGTTAAGACAGTTGGCGCTTTCTTTATCCGATAATGGCAACCGATCATCGCTCATTAGTTGTACAGGTCTAGACGTTTTTGGATTAATTACCTCCCAGAACTTTTTAGGTTTGTTGCGAAGAATGTTTACTAAGTCATTGTTAAAGAATTTTGCCTTCGCCTCTGTAATAGATTTCTTATAAATTTTAGCAATATCATTGTACTGTTTCCAAGCGAGATCGGTAGTCAGTGGTTTGGCACGGCTGAATAGTCTTTTCTTTTTTCTGTTTATTTGGTTAAGCGTTTTTTCAACCAGGTATTTGATTTGTCACGAGTTATGTTTATTGATGGGATGTAAGTGTTGGCAAGGTGTGCAAGTTTATTTCTGAAGAGAATCCAGTTTTCATCGACTGTCCTGCTCATACAGCCATGCTGAAAACTATCGGAAAAATATTTCAAGCTCATTGTTAATTGCGGAGTAATTAGTTTTATTCTAGTCTTTAATGGTTTTAAAATGTGGTGATTTCCGCTGAGTTTCAAATTCAATGTTGAAATGAATTACGTCATGGTCACTAATGGGTGGGTGGTATGTTATATTTTTAACAAGTGTAGTGTCAGTAGTGAGGCATAGATCTAAAATATGACTTGTTCTTTGGGTTGATCTGGTAGGTTGAGTAATCAGCTGCGATAGATTAAATGTAAGACATGTGTCTATGAGTTCTCCTGAAATATGATTCGAGGACGAAAGAGTATTGCAAATGATGTCAGGACAATTGAAGTCGCCTAAGAGAATGCATGATGCGTTTCGGGATTGGTTGAAGATGAAAGAGAGCGCGTCATGAAGCTTATAAAAAAAAAACCATTAACAAAGTCGGGCGGTCTATACACACTTCCACGACGCTATGATTTTTTAGAAAGCCAATCGAGCAAAGCCAAAAGTGCTTCGTCACGATCACTCTCACGTCTAAAAAAGACAATCCGTTCGCTGCGGATACGATGATAGAGTTATCAGCGGATATTCCTCGAACATGTGCGAATCATCCTTGCTTCATACAAGCCTATACTTGCAACATGTCTGCAGACGGTTTTTCTAAGACCAATGTAATGCGGAGTGCAAGTTCGTCCGCTTCTCTTGCAGGGGTTGTGATGACGTCAGAGAGACGCCGACCTTTGATTGGCTCTGGTGGAAACATAGTGGGTAGACGTCCAGGCAGCTTGCTTTGAGGTCTACCCACTATCCTTCCAATCAGAGCCAATCAGACCTCGGCGCTCTGACGTCACCACAACCCCTACTAAAAGAAGCAGAAGAACTTGCGTTTCGCATAGGGCCGTCTCAGAGGGAGGATACACTCGTCAGACAGTGTCCGCAAACTGTCTTCTGTAGGATGTACTAGCGCTGCAACCGCGGCATAAATCTGCAGCTACGGTTCCCGCGGCTGTGAAAGCGACCATCGAAGGACCCTCTCCGACAGTTGGTGACGTTGGCAGTAGTGTTCTTGTGTTTCTTTTTTCTTCTTCTGCAGACTCGAACGATTAGCTGCGGAAGACTACGTTCTCGGCGACACAGGCATCAGGGTTCCCAAAGGGTGCATCATCGCGATTCCCATCTACTCGATGCACCATGACCCGGAGTACTTCCCCGATCCCTTCGCTTTCAAACCAGAAAGGCAAGAAACATTCAGGACGGTTCACGCACTTTGTGACCGCTTACGACCGTATGTCTTGGAAACCCTTAAAATGTCTTACGACGACAGAACACACTGGTGCAATCTATCGGGGAGCCGTGAAACTCTTGGTATCTTGGCATATTTCTTTTTCTGTTTTTTTTTTTCGCGCCTCATTTCTTTTTATTTGGAAAATCTTTTGGCAATGTTGTGAGCGACCATTTCTTTTTAGATATGCATACATTTCATCTCGCAAATACCACAAAATCCTCGCTCTAGTGAAATGCAGTTCCAGGGTCACCTCATAGGAGGCGCCAAAAAGCGCCACTGGTATACCGCTGTAACACCGAGGTAAAGTGAACTAGAAAAGATTGAGTGGGGCCACCGGAGTGCTATTTTTGAAGCTCCGCATGTGGAAAAATTAATGGAGCGTGCTACGAGCGAAGTGGCTTGGATTTACATAAAAAAGGAGACGAGTGCTACAACATAAGCTCTTGACCAAACGCGCAGATAATCTTTAACACAGAACGTATTATGTCAGCCGGTTATTATGCTCCTCTAGCTGCTATGCCTTGCACCGCACACATTTATTTTGTTCTTTATTCGCTGAATTGCCTTGGGACATTTGTTTAATGGAATAGAGGGGTTCACTTGCAATCTTTTTCGTGTAAAGCGAGATGTCCCGCCGGTGATGACTTTAGAGACAGTGCGTGTTTTCTCAATCTCACGTTCACACAACGGCCATTCGGGCCTACGTGCACCTTGCCCTACGAGAAAGGAATCTCGTACACTACGCCTTCGAGGCAGTTCACAAACTTGTTAACATGCTTGACACCGCATTCTTCCTGTTTGTCGTGTTGAGAGCTGATTTCAGGGCACAGCCTCCCTAGTAAAAAAAATCATTTGTATGAGAAATTTCTTGTGTCCAATAAACACATATCAATCATACAAGATATATAAGAACATATAAGAACATATAAGAACCATATAAGAATTTTATGAGAACTATATAAGAATTATATAAGATGTATAAGAACCCCATAAGAAACGTATAAGAAACTTCCCACTGGTTTCTTATATGGTGCTTGTATGTTCTCATATATCTTATATAGTTCTTATATAGCTCTTATATGGTTCTTATACGGTTCTTATATGTTCTTATATATCTCGTATGATTCATATGTGTTTATTGGACACAGAAATTTCTCATACAAATGAGAATTTTCAATAGGGAGCTGTCGGGTGCAGAAAGCACCACCTTCACACAAAACCTGTTGGCTAACCCCTTTCAAGTTATGTGAAACGCAATGTGAAACTCAAACTACACTAATGCAAGTTTCGTAGTGATTAAATTAGATTATACTGACGTAGTCAAAATTCAATGTTGAACTAAAAACACTACTTGGCTAGGTGGCGCAAGTCACCGCCCGATTCAAAGGGAATAGCCACCATCCATCCATCCATCCAACCATTCATGCGTTCTCTTGAGAGCCTGTGTTACAGGGTTTCCAACTGCTCGATCGAAGTCACGCGGTCTATAATCCCCATTTGCAATACGAGCTGCGAGGAGGTGCCGAAAGCGTCCATCTACTGCGAACGTCTTCACCTTTCCGCCTGCTTTCCTCCTCGCCACCTGAAAACGCTGCGCATGCGCACCTCTACTGATCTCCGCCGCAGGAGGCATCCGCCATTAAATTGCAAATGCTTCCCACGGTTTGAGACGAGCCCTCTCTTCAATCTAGGCTCTCTCGTATTCTCTCGTCGTAAGAGATCGCAAGAGGCAAATGTCGTGTTCGCGCTAACATTGTCCCTTAGTGCATGCCACTTTACTCTTGTTTGCCTGTTGCGTTTTCTTTCTCACGACAGATTCATCGGCGAGAATATCGAGTCAATTCGTCCGTATACCTACCTACCGTTCGGGGCTGGTCCTAGGAACTGCATCGGCGACCGGTTCGCCCTGGAAGCCATCAAGATTGCCCTGCTTCACGTGGTCCGAAGCGTCGAATTCTACCGTAGCCAAAACACTCGGGTGCGTAAAATAGTTACCGAAGACCTTCATCTTCAAGGTCCTAAGATGCATGGAATGCATTATGTAGAAAGTGATGGTTTGAAATTTGTTTAGAAGGCGTAAAACACTCGTTTCGGGGAACGGAGAAAAACTGTGTATTCGTTTACTCGCTCAATTTTGCGAGAAATTGACGTCACGTGATATGACGTTAAGTGTCGTCGTGGTATTCCGTGACACCAGGACTTGACGTGGCCTAATCTTATAGGATACCAAGTCACGTGACTTCAATTTGCCCGCTAAATTTAGAGGGGTTTTCACTTTATATGGCCAGGGGCCACATGACGTGGCGCCACGGTGTTCCTTGATCTAATGTCACACGTTGCCAGGTCAAGTGACCTCAATTTTCTCGTTAAATTTAGCGGTGAATGCACGGACGGTCGAACAGGTTTATAGGATTAGATGGGTTCGTTAAAAACCTTTTCACGCCTTAAAAGCGATCATCTTGTAGCCCGTTTCCAGCTTCACAATCTCGGATATGAGTCGAAGCTTGTTCACTCACATATAAAACTTGAGGTAACAACAAATGGACCCACACCCTAAGATCAAGCCCCACATGCGCCTTCTAGCTGGCTGGTGACAGCTAAGAAAAAATCCGCCTGGTCCGGGATTCGATCTCGGGACCTCTCCTAGACTAGCGGAGCGCTCTGAGATAACCAGGAGCTGGCCATGAGTTAGCGAACGAAATTTAACACTTTTTCGGCGATCTTCAGTCTCATGGAGGGCGCCAGTGGCGCTCCGATTAAGTGGGGAAGTTCATTTAGTCTTATTATCTCCGTCGGAGACTTTTCCTAAAATTATCATATCAAACATTAACGTCTCATTTCACCCTTCCGGTGGTAATGATGAGAACTGGTGGCAACTGTTGACATTCGGTTGCTCTACTCATTGTCATGTCCTGGTTAGCTGAACTGGTAGACGCACTAACCAACCACACCCCCTTTAAAGCTCCTAGGGGCCCTGAGAGTATATTGCAACTAAAAAAATAAATATAGCACTCCGCTAGTCTCAAAGAAGATACGGGACCGAACATCGGACCAAGTGGATTTTTTGAGCGGCGACCAGTTGCCTGGTTGCGCGAATTTCGCTCTGTTTTTAAGTGGGAAGTCAATTTATTCTTACGCGAATTTTCTCCATCTTTGGGACTTCCATTAACATCATTGTATCAATGAACCCACTCAATATCTAAACCAAGAAGTTGCATCGGCATAAACCAACCAATTCATGCCAACCCAGCACGTAAAATATCTCGCAAAAAAAAAAGGGATTGCAACAGGAGATTTAGTGATTGTTCCTCGAGGCCGACGAATGAGAAATCAGCCGGTTTTGTTCGTTCAGTTTAGGCCTATGAGGTATTGGAGCAGCATGGCCCCCTAATAATCATGCGACCCCCGTGGCAAATAAAAAAATGGACGCTGCCCCTTCCGTCAGCCATTGGTACCAAATACTGATCGCCCTTCTCATTGGCTGGAGTGATTCAAAGAAAGCAATGAGTGGCATTCCCTGTGTGCGTAACCGGGCAGTGTAATACACCGATGGACTTCTTCAGAATGCGCGTAGTTGAGTCGACTGGCTTGACTGATTTTGTCCAACGGTTCCGTAAATCCCCGGTCGCACCACTAATACATCATAGAAAAGATTGCAGACACCGCCTGATACATGTTTCTTCCTTGTATGACGAAACTGTCAAACTGGTCATACAGAAATTGTTCCGAGACATGTTTTCAAGCGTACATCCCCAACTGTCTTGTACATCAACGCCTCGGCACATGCAATAAAATGATAATTTCCAAATGAACAATAACAAAGCTTGCAATGCTCCATGGGAATATTTTCGATGATAGTCATGAAACATCGATTAAACTTTCGGACGCCTATAGTTTTTATTCCACAGCTCTACAAATATATATATATATATATTTTTTTTTTTGCTTTGAATTTTATGTGTCACATTCATGAAATTGTCAATATTAGCTTTTCTCGACAATAGATCGTTATGTTACCGAAGAACGTAATCGCCTGGGTATCATAAAACGCAAATCAAATGGAATTTTGATATTTCTTCGAGAACTTTTTATTCCACGGAACGTCCAAGAAGGTAGGCTATGCAAATCAACGATGGTAACACTCCCAAACGTGCTTGAGGCATAACCGCAGATAATTTTGCCATTCTGTCTGCACAAAACAGCGTGTCTTTTGCTCGATGTACGAGCAGTGTGAATTCGGCTTAAAGGGCGTCTCCAGCCTAAAATGAGGGTCATTAATTTTATAAAAAAAACCTCGTGGAAGGTACCAGGACCTTCTCGTGGAAGTGTCCAGAAAAGTTCAGTTGAATCGTAGAATAGAGTGTATAAAACGCTTATGGAAATTCCGGCATTGCAACTCACTCGATAAACGAGCGGTGACCTAACAGGGTCAGGATACCCGTCTCCTTAGGGCTCTCCTACCTCCGCCCTTCTCGCCATCCATACGTTGCTCAGTTTCCCGCCGTCCCGCCTGTTGTCATTGCGTCGGTCGCGTCGCGTCGCTCACATGTCTGCGGCAACTGCACGTTACAAACGAAGGCAAAAGGGTAGGACGCAAGAAAAAACACAGCGCTGACTTTTACGTTTCTCTTTCTATTTCTCTGCAAGAAGCAAGGACTTGGCACAAAGAAAACAACGTTACTAGTGCTCAATTAGTACTCAACTAGTGATGTTGAATGCAACGTTACATGAGAACTCAATTGGGAAACTGCCATAAAAGTCACCTTTCAGAAAATGGCTCCGTTCTGTGCATGAGAACTGAACTAATAGGGAGTATTCACTGGCGGCCATAGCTGTGTGCGCGAATACTGAGCGCGTGCTGATGGCGAGCTTCCACAGTTCTTTTGCAACGTGCATTCCCCACCATCGAAAGTGCCGGTCTTAGCAGCCTATTGATGTGAGCTCGTTCTGAGCATGCGCTCTAAACAGCACCCACAAATATGGCGTCCAGTGAATACTCCCTATAGCGATCACAACACAGCCATTTCTCCCGCACCGGTTACTCCGGTAAATACACGGCTGCACGTATAGACCTTTTCTGCAAGTGCGCCGCCATCTTGAATTGACGTCACTTCCAGTATGGGCGAAAACATTGTTTTGCCTTTGCCACGCCAATAGAAGGCATTTAGGATATAAGCGTAACCGTCACACATTCTCGTTTTACCTCCCCTTTATTTTTTACTATTTGCAGGTTGAAACGGTGCATTATTTTTTCGTCGCCCATACCGGATACGCCTAAAGCCCCTCGATGTGTTTGCGTTTGTCTTGCAAGTAGCGTCAATTGCGCGAGTGCACGAGGCCCATGTCTCGAGCGGCCCTTGGAAGCAAATGGCGGCGCAGCACTGAAATGAGGGGGCCTTGGAAGCAAATGGCAGCGGAGCACCCGCTCATGGCACGTGTCTCGCGCGCTTCCACAACAATGGTTGGCGGTACTTGTAAAAACGCTTTTATCAAGGGGCTTTAGATACGCCTATTAGGTGGCTGGGGACGAGAGTACACAGAAAAGCTAGCCACCAAACGTATAGGTTCAAGTACAGTCGCGCAAGGGCTGGTGGCGCCATCTCGCTGCAGCTATGTAAAGCAACTTTCATGTTTTGACTCGTCGCTAAAGGGTGGCGCTGTTATCGTATTTAGTTTGGTTTCGATGGACGCCTTGCGGTCTAAGTTTCAATGGTACGTTGCCCAACTGAGTGTTTTAGTAACGTTGATTGAAGGCATGTAAAATTGCGCGGGCGTGAAGACGTGCGGCGGCTATTTTTTGGATGGAGAGACCTTTTTTAAGAACTCTTCTGAAATCTTTGTCCAGGTTCCTTTGGAATTTCTTTATCGCCTTAGACTGCTCCAAGCCAAGGACGTCACTGTCGGAATTCGGAAGAGGCCAGTGCAACTTGCCGAAACCGGGTTGTAGGACTTCGTCAGGATCCTGATGCGACGCGACTAATCCTGTGGTCTCGCATACTGTTTTAGGCTAATCAAGGTCAATTTATATACTACATTAACACATTTCGGGATCTGGAGTTGCAAATAAAGCATACGCGTTGTCACGTCAAGAAGAAAAAGAAAACGCAAGTGTTGCGCATTGCTTAGGTTCTGCGCAAAGTAGTTCTTACAAGATTTAGTTGTAGAGAGCAGAAACAATGCGTTTTGCGTTTGAAGCGTGCTCGTCTTGACAATATAACATATAGCTGATATGCCCTTAGCGAAACACCGAGGGAAGCGAAGCTGGCAGAAGAATGCGAAGAGGAAGCTTCAGGTAAACCTCAAAACGGCGTGCCGACGTTTCACTAGGGGACCTAGACCTACATATATATAATTTAATTCAACATATAAAGATGGAAATTAATAAGGTTCCGTGAGTACCCTGACTCTTTTTTTTTTCTTACTGTGGTTCTTGACGTGTATACGAGTATAGCTTACCACGTATTTGTATGTATGCGCGAACTGTTTCACCCTAAAACTCCTAGTGCTTCGACTTTCCCGCACAGCACGCTGGAGAGCCGATCACTCCCCTCTACGGGGAGAGCTCAGTGAATGACAAAATTAAAAATATGTCTAGACCTAAAACAGAGAGGAGAAGCGGAAGCTCTTTACAACTCCCTGTAATGCCGAATTAGAGCGCAGCTCTTGAGAAGGAGCTAGGAGGGCAGGGTACTGAGAAGGGGGGGGGTCACGTGACCTCGGGGAGGGGGGTCACGTGACCTCGGGGAGGGGGGTCACGTGATCCCCCCCCCCGAGAAATTTTTCCGCTAGATTCAGCGGGAAAATTTTTCCGCTAGATTTAGCGGGGAAATTTTTCCAATAAATTTAGCGGGGAAATTTTTCCGCTAGATCTAGCGGGGAAATTTTCCCGCTAGATTTAGCAAAAAGATGTTTCCGCTAAATTTAGCGGGGAAATTTTTTCGCTCAATTTAGCGGGGAAATTTACCCATAATCCACCGCGTGGTAACGCCGACGGCAACGCCGCTCAAGCCGGAAACGGGCGCCTAAGAGCTGCGCTCTAAAAACCGTCAGCGCGGTGGCATTGAATATGGTAGCAGGGCGGACATTTTTTTTTTCTTTGTCCATGCATGCCTTCTGGCCGTTCCCTCCGCATTCCCTTCCCTCCGAAAGAGCATCAAAGGATTATTTCCTTTGTTGCTCTTTCACAGCATTTTACCCGGCAAAATCATATCTCTCTTCTTTCTTAAAGCTTGCAAACAAATTTTCTAATTTAGGACAAAATTAATTAAAAAAGTAATGAGTAATTTTTTCGAAATTAATGCTTGAAAGTAATTCAATGCATTGCTAAATTACTAGGCAAGAGAACTGATTCATTACATTACTCATTACTCCAAAATTTAATTTAATTACTGTAATTCACATACAGTAATGTCATTGCTGCCATCTCTGCTCTCTCTCTCTCTCTCTCTCTCTCTCTATATATATATATATATATATATATATCTATATATATATATATATATCAATGACCAACTGACGACGCGCGGTGCAGAGAAATGTAGGCTGCAGTCTGACAGAATCTTCGGAGATCTATTAGTGAGAACGCACATATTGGCCAAAAATCACCGTGCACCATCATGACACTAATAAGTGCCGACAAGGAGCGATTCGGTAGTCACAGCACAGCGGAGGCTCCAACGCTATATAGCCTGGGACTGGCACTTTCCGCACATGGTTTGTCTTTCGAGTCGGATTAGCCTGTGGCGCCTCGTCGCCTGTGGAGTGCAGCTTCAACATGCTACAGCCTCATGGGTGGTGGGAGGGGTGAATGGGAGGGGGGGGGGGGGGGGGGAGTCGAGTCGGAGCAGCTGTGAGTTGGAGGCATGCGTTTAGAACCTATGGAGGCGGCCCGAGCTTACATCAGCCCTCATCGCAACTGGCAAGGACTCGGCCAGATAGGCCCATCCGGAGGCCGGCGATAGAGGCGATGTGCGCGGACAGCCGCTTTGGAAGGAACGTCGCAAGGTGTGTCGATGAAACGATCCTGAGAACTCTTCGATGAAACGAACTGTCGTTGGAACGTCGCTGTATACGAAACAATATGTCGATGAGACGTCGGTCGAGAAATCAATGACCACCGCTGGGCACGGAACTCGCTCGAGTAGATTTTGTTGAGCTCAAATGTCGAGACCTTTCGCATGAAACATCGAAATATCATCACCACCGTGATGTTCGTGTAGTTTGTGTATGGATTTGAGTATATCTGCCTCACCTTCTTTTCTTTAAAGCAGCTGTTCAACGATTTTAACGTTGAAAGAATTTGCATCTCCTTCCTTCACAATGTTGCAATTCCGCCGTGTAATCGCGAGGCAAGAATTAGAATATTTCCCGACCTGCAGCTGCGAGCGGCGGCCATGAGAACCACGCGGCGTGACGTCAATGGGGGACTTGTATAAAGATAGCGAGTTGTGCGAATACCTCTTCGATGAAAGGCAATTTTTCTATAAATCTTGTTCCAACATAAATATAAATGCATCAAAAACCTGGTATCATCGACAAAACTTTTATTATCTGGAGTTTTAGTGGCGCCATCTATCCGAGGTAACAAGGAGGTTAGAAGTACTAGGAGGGGGCACGTTGCAATATTGGTGAAGCCTAGTCATAAAAAGTTTAAACGATTTTGTGCCCAGCGTGACCGCAGATCTCTCTGGCGATTGGTGCGCGTGACATGTCACGTGTGAGATGGATGGTTGCTTGTAGAAGGACTCCTTGCAGGCTTGCGCGCGCTCCGTCCGGTAGGTTTTATCAGATCGAAGGCTAGACTGCGGTGTATTCTTGTAGCCGATAGCAAGACGAAGGCTAGCTACGGTCACGTGATGTGGTCACGTTGGCATGGTAAGGGAGGAGAGTAAGGAGGAAAATGAGAAAGAGGCGAGGCGTCAAGGGAGCATGGCTTGTGGAGGCTACGCGGCCGACGTCATGCCCTCTCCTACCCTTCTATTCTCCATGGAGGTCAACAAGAGCGTCAGCTCTATCTAGTGCCGCGAACAGTCGCCAGAAACCGGAGGGGTAGGGGGCAGTGCCAGAGCCCGGACGAGGCTTTCCTCCATTCGCCATGTTTATCGCTCTGCGCAAGCACGTGGTCACGTGGTCTCGAGCGGGTGAGTTCTCGCTGCTCACTTATGGCTCTAGAGAGAGAGAGCTTCACAGAAACCCCGCGAGTCCCCCATTGACGTCACAGCGCACGTGACTTGGAAGATGGAGAAGGAGTTGAGAGCTGCCGAAAACCTTAACCTTTGTCAATTTTGTACAATAAAAACGAGGACAGGGAGGCAAAAGCGTTTTTTTGTTCTTTACTTCAGAAAGCTTGAGACGCCAACTCTCAAATTATTTAATCAAAGCACTGAAATTGTTGCACAGCTCCTTTAAAGGGCCAACCGTGGTAACCAAAGTAAGGAGCTGAAGGACAGGTTGTTACTTCTGATCAACGAATCCCAGATAAAAAAGACTGAAGAGGACTCTTGTTGACTCGTACGTTTGCTCTTCACTGGTATTAACTGGATTGGTTGCCACGAGGTGCATGAAACGCACGACGCAGTCAGCGTGCGTTCGAAACTGCCCAGCACCCCAAACTCGTTGTTTTTGTGAACTTGCGGTTATGCTTGATCTTCAAATTTTTGCGCGAGGTCGTGCAAATCATACTAGTGAATAAAAATCTGAATGGTTTCAATCGTGGTTTTATCCAGAATTTAAATCGGGATTAGAAGTAATCCGGTTTTACTGTGATGATTTATATCATACGTTTTATGAAAATAAAGTACCAAATATATATTTTTATCTATCGTTTGTTTGCGACTTAATGCTTTTCATGCGCATTTATTTTGCATTTAATCAAAAATAGCAAAACAATGAAAACATACATCATGCTGAACATAAGCAAAATATATTCTGCTGAGCAAATTAAAAAGGAGCTGTATTTCTCCCTTCCACTTCATTCACATAGTTCTCCGGCATTCCATGTAAGCAAATTGAAATGCGAAGGATGGAAACAAACACAGAAAGTATGCGTCCTCACAAAAGCACACATGCCGACAGAAAGAGATGGAGAGAAAGAAAGAGGGACAGATGGACCGTCACCGAGATGCAGACTGAGTTTTAAATCTAAGGTAGATCTTGCATTGGCCAGTATAATCGTTGTGTCTTACACGAGCTTGCTGCTTTTCTTTTGAGACCATACCACCACCTTACGCTCTTTAAAACTAAATGAAAAAGCCATTTTGATGGGCAACTAGACGAATGTGCACGAGTTCAAAAGCAGAAATCATTATTTTAAGGTAAAGTGACTGAAATCATATAATGCTAATTTGTATTTAAAAAAAAATCCCACTTGAATAAAATAAATTTGGTTTTATGCTTTTTTACCTAAAAATGTTTTCCCTATTCGTGTGAAGTAGGGCGTGAGTGCACGACTTAGAAAGTGCTCTACTAGAGCGAGAAATGATGTGCTAAGCCAAACCACGTGACGTTCCCGTACCCTTGTTAACACACTGTACGCAATTTGCGATATGAAGCACATAGAAAAACTTAGGGGAAACTCCCAAGGTGGAATAGATTTATGCATGAATGGATTTACTTATACCAGCAATGGAGCACACTTCTCGCCTTCCGATGACTTGTCGCCGTTGAAAATATCCGCCAGATCCAGGAGCCGACCAGACCTCTCCAACCTTCATGAACAGCTCTATACCCACTGAACTAACGTGGAGCTAGCCGTCAGTACAGCAAACGAATGTTAACAGGTTCTACCACTCTTGATTGTAAGTGTCACAAGGGTGAGATCGGATGTTTAACTATTAATTATGATCACTGAACGTCTGGGGATCCGTAGAACTAACTGGGGATCTGTAGGTCAGCGCTCCGCCTCGTTGTCTCCGAGGCGGCTATGAAACTAGATAAAGCCTCATAATT